TTTTGGCTATTTTGACTTGACAAAAAGCCAACAAATGATGATTTGGACCATTGCTGTGTCATTTTGTATTGTTCTGTTGGTAGTTTTAGACAAAATAGTTTCAAGTGGATCTTAATGACTGAATGACTCGGAAATTTTAATTATTGGCCCATGAACATGGAAATAAGTGCAGAATTCCCAAACTAGGGTGCTATTGTATCCCCAGAAAGTTCCTGTCAGTGTCTGTCTATGGATGGATCCATTTTTCTACTAAAATACAGACGTGGTCGAAATTTGACCAAAGACAACTTGAATTTTGTTCAAAATTACTTGAAACTTGTTTAAAATGGCTAAAAATCTGCCCAAAGTAAGACAAGGATGGTCCAAAATTGTTCAAATTAACAACAATACATGATTATTGGCTCTTAAATATGTAAAAACGTATAAAATTTTCCAAACCAGGCTGGTACTGATCCCCATAAAGTTCCTGTCAGTGTCTATCTATGGATGGATCCATGGTTCTACTAGAATCCATTTCACCAAAGATAACTTGAATCTTGTCCAAAATTGCTCAAACTTTGTCCAAAATGACTTGAAATGTGTCCTAGAGATTTAAAATTTGTGCAAAATAAGATAAAGAGGGTTGAAAATGGCAATAATTAATTAATAATGACTCCTAAAAATGGGAAAAAAGTGCAACATGTTCAAACCAGGCTGGTATTGTCGCCCCAAAACGTTCATATTTCTACTAAAATACATTCCTTGGCTGACATTTCACCAACATTTAAGGCAAAAATTTGTCTAAAATGGCTTCAAACTTAAATGTTATGACTCAAGATGTAATTAAAATGATAAATTGTCCAAAATGATTGAAAAAATGTTTTAAAAAATTAAATTGAACAACTTGAAACTGGCCTTGGGTGAGTTAAACTTCTCCAACATGACAAAAATGAAGAATTATGTGTCTTTGAAAATGGGGAAAAGTGCAAAATGTATAGCTTCTTTGCACCAATGGACCAAGTCAAATTCCTGGTGATGTAAAAATTACTTGGCAATAAAACTGATTCTGATTCTGATTCTGATTCTGATTCTAAGGCTGGTATTGATCCCCAGAAAGTTCCTGTCAGTGTGCATCTATGGATGGATCCATGTTTCCTACTAAAAATACAACATTTCCCTTATGAGGCCAAATGTGTCCACAATGGATTAACCCAGGGATTAACGATGAGAAACCATTAGTCCAGGCTCTGCTTTATTCATTACTCTGAACTCATTGTGTTTATTAGAAGGACCTTTTTTTTCCACTTTTCTTTGCAGGAACATCTAAATCCCACGCAGACCCCCCTGACATCCACGATTCCTCGTCCCAGCAGCTTTCCCCCTCATGGCTTCACATTTTTTTAAACAAGGTATGAAAGACTTGGGAGGTAATCTGCTGCGAGAGGGGAAAAAGAAAGAGATAATAGCGGCGGTGGAAGATGAAAAGATGAGCAGCCGTCATTACCTTTTTCACACAGGCGGATGGTGAGCGAACCTTCGTCCTGGAAATAGATGATTCTCTTCTGGACAATGCTGGCCCTGCAGACACACAGCGAGGAAAGGGAAGATTGAGGAGGGAAAATGGAGCAGAAGCTGGACAGGAGGAGGTCATTAGATGGGTAATACTGGGCTGTTTCTGATCCATGTAATCCTCGGCGATGGGCTGGGGGGGTTTCATAACGGACACGAGAACACGTCTGTTCTCAGGAAACAGCGTTTTATTCGCCGAACCTCGTGACACAATCATCCTGCTGCAATATCAGAGCAATCGTGAAGAAGAACGGAGCAGGAATTACAGTCAGGAGACGGACGGGGTTGTTTTTACCCTTGAAAATGGCAAAAATAAATAAAAAATCTTCAAACAAGGAGGGTATTGTGACCCCAGAACGTTACTGAGAATGTATATATATATGTAGAGAGAGATGTACCCACTGAAACGTGTCCAAAATGTTTACAAAGGTGTCCAGAACAAGAGACAGATGGTCCAAAATGAGTAAAAAATGGACAAAATGCCAATAATGCCGAATTATTTCTCATGGAAAATAGTTTAAAAGTGCTAAATATCCAACCAGGCTGGTGTTGATCCATAAAGTTCCTGTCAGTGTCTGTGTATGGATGGATCCATGGTTCTACTAGAATCCAGTCTCTGGTCACATTTCACCACCTGTTGAGGCTCTAACATCAGCAGAACCTGATGTGGTGAAGTTGGACCAGACATGGTTCTGGTTTTTACATGTTGACATGAAATGAATCAAATGTAGAAAAAGAGTTTTAAAAAATTCCAACATCACTTGAAATTTGTCCAAAATTACTTAGAATTTGTCAGAAATGACTTAAAATCTTCCCAGAACAGGTAGAAATCATCCAAAACGCCTCCAGATGTGTTCAAAGTGACTCCATAATTGGCCAAAATTGGAAAAGGAATTGTCCAACATGAAAATATTGCATATTTTGTTGGCCTTTGGTGATAGAAAATAAATAAAAATAAAAAAAAATAAAATAAATCCAGGTTGGTGCTGATCCAGAAAGTTCCTGTCAGTGTCTGTCTATGGATGGATCCATGGTTCTACTAGAATCCAGTCTCTGGTCACATTTCACCACCTGTTGAGGCTCTAACATCAGTAGAATTGGATTTGTGTCCAAAATTATTTTTTTTTTAAATACACAAAAATGTCCTGAATTTTCCAAAAATTGACAGTAAATTATCCCAAATTAGTCCAAAACTGTCATACAATTGACCTAAACAACTTAAAACGAGCCCAAAATTACTTATATTTTGTCCAAAAGGTACTCGATATGATCAGAATGACTCACAATTCTCAAAAAAATAACTACAAGTCCTCAATTAGTCCAAAAATGACCTTAATGGTTCTCAAAAACTCAATTTTGGGTCCAAAAAAGAGAAATAAATAGACAAACTAAGAAAAAAATCAGCAACATTTTTCCTGAATTCTGTCTGAATTGACCCAAATTCAGCTTCTTGCAGATTTTCTTCCCACCATCAGATAAATACTTGGTTCATCTGTCGGCGTACATTCCCGTGTTTCATCCCTGCGGAGCATCAGACCTGTTTCAAGGTAATATAAATGTTGGGATTGTACAGAACGGTGTTGCAATAAAATGTAGAAGCGTTGCAAGCTCATTGTGAAAGCGTTGCGAGGCTACCAGACCTCGGCGCTCCCCCGACGCTTCCTTTATCCTCCTCGTCTCCTCTGAATTTCAATCAGAGTGGCAGCCCACCGACGTTCCCCGGCTCTGCACGTGCAACGTGAGGAGTGCATTTCATTTTTCCTGAAGAGGAACGTAAACGGTGAAATAAACTGAGCGGAACCCGGTCTAGTCCTGAATCCTGTGTCAAGTCGTTACAGTCAAATGAGAAGCAGTTTGTAGCTCTGCACATCCAGAACCAACATCTAGAACCTGTGAACTCCAGGTTCTGGTTCCTCCCAGTGATCCACATCAACATTTAGTCTAAATGATCCGCTGGAAACCACTTTGTCTGTCTAAAATAACTGCAGATCTGCCAAAAATTAGCAACAAGAGGCGCCCAAAATGACACAACAACGGTCCAAATCACGTCAAAACATCCGAAAACCAGAACCTTGTCTGGTCCAGCTTCACCACATCAGGTTCTGCTGATGTTAGAGCCTCAACAGGTGGTGAACTGTGACCAGAGACTGGGTTCTAGTAGAACCATGGATCCATCCATAGACAGACACTGACAGGAACTTTGTGGATCTCTTTTGTTTTTCCATTTTCGAAGGTCGACTGTTATTTATCGTCATCATTTTGGACAATTTCAAGTCATTTTAGACCAAGTTTGGCTTATTTTGGACAAGTTTTAAGTTATTTTGGAGCATTTTTACATTCTTTTGGACAAATTGTGAGCCATTTTGGACGAGTTTTAAGTCATCTGTGGTGAAATGTTGATTAAAGACTGTATTTGAGTAGAAATACTGATGCATCCATATATGTAAACCCTTACAGGAGCTGTCTGGGGACAAAATACCAGCCTGGATTGGGAATTCTGCACTTTTTACCATTTTCAAAAGCCGATAATTAACATTTGTCCTCTGTCGCAGCCATTTAATCATTATGATCCGCTCAAAACCATCTTGTCTGTTGAAAATTACCAACAAAAAATGTCCAAAATGGCACAAAAATGGTCCAAATCGTCCTATGATGGCATTTTGTCGTGTCAAAATAGCCAAAACCTGGAATCCTGTCTTACCATAGTTGCCACACATCAATTTCTACTGGTGTTAGAGCCTCAACAGTTGGTGAAGTGTCGACCACAGACTGGATTTTTAGTCGTCAAATGGCCAAAATGTTCATGTGGACTCACTGGCAGGGATCCTTGTGGTCTTATTTTTTATCAAAACCAACCACTGATGGAAAATTAAGCAGTAATACTAAAGAAAGACGTTTTATGATGAAGCTGACTAAAAACATGGACGTTAATGCGGTTGATTGTGCCGTCTGAATGCTCTGATTTCGTCTCGATGCAAAGACTCTGCTGGAAGACTCTTTGCATTCATGTGGGTGTTTCGTTGCCTTGCTGCAGACCACGTACAGCCCAACGGCAGCTCCACCACCACACTGAGCCCAAGGCGTTGACCCGACCTCCAAACTCCCCAAATCTCCCTCCGACCGACGGAACAAACCAAATCCACGGAGACCCGAACCCGCGACCCAAAGATCTGCCGCCCAAATCCAGCAGCCTGGTTTTAATGTTGTGGCTGGTGAGACGGCTTCAAATAAATCGGTAATGTTTATACACGTCCGCCGCTTCCCTTCGCCTCTCAGCAGCGAGGCCTTCGCAGCGTCTGCAGCTCGCACTGTAGAGACACATAAAGCTGAATGAAAGCGAGGCGAGCAGCAGCGGCGGCGGCGGCGGAGACAGAGGAGGCGACATTAAGTAGGAGTTATCGCTGTTATTGCTCCTATAAATCTTCCAGCGGCTGAACGCTGCAATATACCCTGCAACACGGCCCGACCGCCTGGGCATGAAATTGAAAAACAAAAGTGAAATATGCCGACTATTACCGAGCTGCCCTTGATAGTTCTTAAGGTAATTTCCTATTAGTTTGTAATGGTGCTAATTGGTTTATTTATGGAGCTAATTCATTAATCAACCTGGAAATAGAGCTGATAACACAATAAAAGACCATCTCAGTTCGTAGAAATGATCTCCACCCTCCAGAGGTCGACCTGCGCATCAGGTTGCCGGGTTGCTCTCCTCGGTTTTAGGAATTTGTCAATTACAGGAGAGTAATAAAGCCGCGAAGGAGGAAACAAGCTGTAAAACTGCTGCTGCGCTTCCCCCCGTGGTCGTAAAAGTGCCAAATATTAACTAATACATCATTTCTAGCAGCGCCCGACGCTGGAATCATCACAGAACATCCACCAAGCACGGAGAATTCCTCCAACTCAAGTTCCTCACTCACAGTGACATTGAAGGATATGAATCTTTATCTGTGGAGATGTTTTCTAAATCCAAGCAGGCAGCAAAATAAAACCATCAGAATGTACAGAACCCAACAAAGTCTAGAAGATTCAACACATTTCCTACTTATGTTACCAATAAAACACTATCTGAAGGTTTCACTTTAATAAAAAACTTCTGGAGTATTGGAGCGAGCATGTTGGCGGGGCTCGAACTAACAATTATCTTTATTCTAGATTATTCTGTGACTTATTTCCTCAATTAACAGATTCGTAGTTCTGTGAATAAAATGTCTGAAAACGTTGGTCAGCGTCCTGTTCTGTCCATAAACCCAAAAATATTCAGTTTACCGACAAAGAGCTTCAGTTTAGGGATATTTTTATTGTCAATTAATTGGTCAAATATTTTCCTAAATAATATTAAAGTTGTTCTGTTTATACCACGTCAGAAAATGTTTAAATACTACTAATAATAATAATTCATGATAATATGTCGGTCAGCGTCCTGTTTTGTCCATAAACCCAAAAATATTCAGATTACTGTCATACAGGAGGAAATAAAGCAGAAAATATTTATGATTTTTTAAAACTTGTTTTCCTTAAATTACTTAAAACAACTTTCAAAATCAGGGCTGCAGGTGGATCAGTGGTTAGCATCGTCGCCTCACAGCTAGAAAGTCGCCGGTTGGCGTCCCGGTGAGGACACCCGGGATCTTCCTGCGTGGAGTCTCCATGTTCTCCCCGTGCAGCGTGGGTTCTCTCCGGGTTCTCCGGCTTCCTCCCACAGTCCAGAAACATGTTGAGGTTAATTGGTGATTGTAAATTGTCCGTAGGTGTGAATGTGAGTGTGCTTGGTTGTCTGTCTCTAAGTGTAGCCCTGTGATAGACTGGTTACCTGTCCAGGTGAACCTGCCTTCACCCTGAGTCAGCTGGGATAGACTCCAGCCCCCCATGACCCTGGTGAGGATTAGGGTGTGTGTAGATGGATGGATGGATGGATGGATGGACACCTAACTGTCATGGTTGCCTCTGGGTTGCTGCAGCTCATGGCATCAGTGCATACAACTAAGATACCCAGCCGAGGATTCAGAAGA